AATGGTATATGAAATATTCTTATTGAGTTAGAAGAGAAAGCTAGAAAACACTATCTTTCCTCTAAATACCAAAAATATTATTTTTCAAATAACTTTTGATGGAATGATTTCCCAGGCTAAAACGACATACCGTTGGATGCGCCTTCACGAGTACTATCTACACATATGATTTGATGATAAGCGGATGAAAAAAAATAAACCGGCGGTATCCTTTTATAATTTCATGCGAATAGCCTAGATTTCAACGAATCGTTCAAACGAATGATGATATCACTGGCCACTGCACATATTCTGCTTCTCTTAACTAATGATACTAATAATAGTAAAATAATAGGCTAAAAACAAATACTCAATAGGTTTCTTTATTCTCATCCTCGTTCTTTATTGCGTAGTACTAGATATATTATTTTATCTATTTGTTTCGTGATAATTGTATCAGACTTATGCTGCAAACTAACTGAACTCTTTGATTACTGGTGATTAATGTACAACTAGTATTCTTGTGAACTATTCATTCTGCTTTCTTGTTCGTTTGCAATGTTCACGCTTGCAATCTAATCGTTATGTTTATTTTAGAAGTGAAACTAAATATTCATATCTAAAACACTTCTTTTGATGCAGCGGAGAATATATTAAAATTGGTGATATTCACAATTAGTATTAGATTAGTATTTGGAACTTCAAAAGTTTCTTCTGCAATGAAATAAGTATCTCAAGATCCTTTTATAATAACCGTTCAAAAAAAGAATGATATATGACTGTTTTTCTTAATTATTTTTGATAGGAACAAGATGGAAAGCTGCGATTTACACTATTCGAAAGATGAGGCTTGGGAGGTTGTTCTCTTCAAAAGTGCAGTCAAACGAGACCTTGGTTTTAAGCGGTTCGAATGCGGTACGACATTTTCTTGGAGTTCAAAAACAGACACCCAGTAACTATTGGCAACCTCAGGAATGAGTGGATTATAGTAATCGACCACGCGAGTCTCGTGGGAATATTTGTTATTAGAAAAAGATTTAGAAACTTAGCAAAATAAAATTTTACAAAAATCAGAGTTTTCAGTTATTTTCATCTAATATAAAAAATTCATAAGTCACTCCAGAACCATTAAAATGAGCTGAAAATTTCAGGATATATAGCATTTAGGCTATTTTACAGAAACTCTACAAAAAAAGAATTTGAAAACATTCAGACAAAACATTGTACGCATTCTACATGTACTATTTTAACCGCTCAATTTTCGTTTCAGTATTTGTTTGATGATTATCTAAAACATTTCCAGCATATGGTGATTGCCTTATGGAATATGCAAGTATAACATATTGTTTATAACTGACGATTGCCATATAGGGTGCAATTTCAATACCAATAGCATAACTAAAACGATCTTTCCCAATAATGATATTGAATTGTTCATTTTTGTAAATGGCTGAAAGGTTTTCTTTTAAATAATGTGTTATATCTGAATATGTCTGCGATAATTCAAATACTCTTAAAACTAATTTTTCCAAATCCATGGCAAATTCTTTATTGTTTGCTTGAAGTATACGAGTTTTTGATGATAAAAGTGGAGAAGAAGTCGTTTCTCGAGGTCTGTTTTCTGCTGCACTGCGTAAACATTCCACACAACAAAGTAAAATCTCCATGGTTAAAAAGAGAAAGAGCACAATTGATTATGTTTGTGTTCCTACTCTATAACTTGCTTTTATATTGTTCTACGAATGCCTCATGTTTCATTCAAGGTGAAATGTTTTTTATCACTAAACACTGATTACAGTCATTGATATACGCCATCTCTCTGTAGTGATCATCATGACTGATGTAAATGGAGAGGTAGTCGTGTAACTGGAAACTAATTTCACAGATAATCGCTGAAAGAATTTCGTTTCGACAACTCTTCCACTTTCTTAATGGCAAAAATCTATTATACAATAGCTTCTGAACCTTAGGTGCGATTTCCTCATCATAGCCAATTCTCATAGATGTCACTTATAATGTGTTTATTCTCCGATCTGAGAATTTCATATTTAAACTCATGCAAATGTTTTTTTGTAAATTATTTACAAATTTTGTAGATCATAACATTTTCTAAAAGAGTGGCATCTTCAGTCAGTTTCTTTTCGTGAATATTAACATAGTAAAGATTCTCTAATGGATCTTGAACGTTCTAAACGCGTTTTGATATTCCTTTCGAACACAATCTAAAATAGAATAATAAGTCTCTCAGTTACGGTAGTAATGATATTCTAAATGCAACTGACATCATAAATACTGATCTCCGCACTAAAAAATAAGTTTTTATAACCCTGCGTCGTTAAGCGTGGAAACCTATGGCTAACATCTACCATTTTTACTAGGATTTTTCAGCTGGGATTAAATTCAATAATAAACAAAAAACATGATTCTATACCCAGCAAAAGATGAAGCGCTATTGAGTTTATATTATAAAATGATATGTTTATTCTTCTTGATAACATAAACTTTTTTTAATGCGTCCGACAAGAAATTCTTTCCGACGAATTTTACTCGTAATACAGCATTATTATAATGATGACCGACTATCCTGCCAGTATAAGAGTAAAATTCGTTGGAAGAATTTCTTGTCGGACATATTAAAAAATTATCATAAACGTTTGTTCAAAAAATTCGTTGATTGATTTAACCCTTAAAAGCCGAGGGGGTTCTGCTTATGGCAGGAGGGAGCTAACCACAAACATATAGATTATGGGCCCTCAGCATACTCATACTATAGTAAAAAATAACAATCTTGGTCTTCTTCC